GATGTGGGTTATTTTACTACAGGACTTTTTGCCTCGCAGTTAAAAGCAAATTTACCCCCCTCCCCAAATACTTTGAACACGTTGCAAGTATTTTTCGTGCAAAGACGTCGCTGTCCAACTCCGAGTGAGACAGCAAATAAAGTGTGTAGCTGGTCAAATGAGTTTAGATTGAAGTGCCCAATCGCAACTGTTCAACGGTAAAAAAGAAACAGACAAAACTGTAGTTCTTTGTTTATTTGTTCATGTAATTGTGCAGGAGGTCTAAAAAAAGAGAGGACCCGTTTACTTGAAAATAGTTGGTCGTCTTTGCACCAATTTCAACAAACCTTCAAACAAACAAAACAAAACTGAGAAGTAGACATTAAATTTGTTAGTATAAATAAAAAATAATGAACGTGTTCGAGAAGTATAGTTTCTAATTTCGCAATTAAAATTGAGTATGAAGAACTTTATTTCTTTGAAGCGTTTATGCCTCTGGGTCGTGATCGGACCATTCTGGATCAACGACGATGGCGGTCAAACAACTGTCACATGAGATGGATAACATCTAATTCACCGTGTTGAGAAAGTTCTGGGGAAGTTTTGGGAGTTCTATAATGGGTCATATTGTTGAGGAGGCCTGGTTCCAGCAGGGAGGGGGGCACACCCCACAACCAAGAGTTCCCCTTGCAATGAGTTTATTGCAAATAATGAAGTATTGGAAAGAGCTGAGATTAAAAATATCTGCAAAGTTGTTCCCGCATCCGATCCGGACATTGGGAATTGCCTTGTTTGTGAGACAACTTCCTGGGCCTTCGGCATATGTGGTAGGGTGGCCAGATCCTTTCCACGCCGCCTTTACTTCCCCAACTCGAAGTCAGGTAGCCATTACTGCTGGGTGGGCAGGAAGGGACGAAAAAAATCCATGTCCGAACCGAGGCTCGAACCCAGACTTTCCGCTTCGGAGACAAGCGCACTAACCGCTCCGCCACTAAAGATGTGCAGCCATAAAATAAGGGAAATGGAGATGTTTGGGATATGTTTTGAAAATGCCAGAGAAAAGCTTGATATTTCACACATGGTTTTGGAGACTGAATGAAAGAGGAATAGGTGGACCAACTGACTGGCAGTTACAGAAGCCCAATCAAGGATGAGGAAATGACATAGGGACTGGGAGTGCCAAGGTTTGAGAACGTGGCCAAGGACAGACAAACGTGGAGTCGGCTACTCTCCACCTTACCTGATTTTACAGGAAGAGAGTAAGTAAAGCAAGAAAGAAAATAAGAAATAAAGACAAACAGAAAGAAAGAAAGAAAACAAGTAAGCAGAAAAGTAAGCTAGCAAACAAGCAAGTAAGTAAGCAAAAAAGTAAGTAAGCAAGTAAATAAGTAAGTGGGAGTCTATGGAAACAATCGAAAAGTTGAAACGCAATCTTGAACAGGAGCTCCAAAGAACTGACCTAGAATCATGTTACCTTGTACACGTAATTCAAAATTTTCAGCTGTATATTTGAGCTTTTCCGGAGAGACATTTAATGGTCAACACCTGGAGGAAAAATTTTGAATAATAGCCACCTTTCTTGAGTTTATTTAGCCATGTCATTTTCACATACATTTGTTCTCCAAAGCACAAATACACACTGAGGTCTATCTATAAGCATTTGCGAAGTTTTGCATTTTGCTAAGTTTTGGTTGAAATAATAAAAACTTAATATTTCTCCAACGTGTACGTTTTTTCCCCCTTGATACTGACAAATTTTACTTCTTGTGGGTTTTACTTCATTCGTTTTAATTTCCAGTGAAATGGCCTCAATTTCTCTACCAAAAATGACCGAGTTATTTACCTATGTGTGGTTTCTTTTTTAGACCTCGAAATTCACTTTTTAGATGCCACATATATAATTTAAGGAAATACCTATTTCATGAAACTCCGAAAAAATAAAGCAAAAAAGTGAGCTATTTTCAGATTTACTCACTGATTTTTTATAACATCAATCTTGCTCACCCAATCTACTTTTAGCAATTGATCTGACAAAGCAAGCCTATCATGGTACTAATTGAATTCACTTTAAAAGAAGCATTGAATGTGGCTTGCTATTTTCAGAATGGTTCATTAAAGAAGGAAGGGATTTTATTGTTAAAATGTAAACAGCACAGGCGTAACAAACTCTTTTTTTGTGCCAATTTGACGTCATTCTGACACACTTTTTTCAATCGTACCGTGAACCGCGTTGAAGTATAAAATTTCTGAACATTCTGTAACACTCTTTCAGTCATTGAGAACGTTGTACTGCCGTTCAGTTTGTACTCGTAGGAGCGGGTCGATGTTGATGGACCAAGTGATTCCAATATTATAATACTAAACCCATTAGCATCCTATCGGCTTTGAACCATCCCTTGAACTTCGCTGGGAAAGTAAAACCACAAGGTAAAGACAAAAGACTGCTGTCTGTGGTCCTAACTTCTAACTCTCCTGTGTTACATTAAACGTAAAGTTTAACCCCTCATTTGGAACATATTTGATTTAGTACGGACACCTGGGGCGTCCTCTCTCAATGGGACCACATTTGGGTTGTTGCAACGTCAAGTGCGGAAGTAACGTTTAACTTATTTAAAGAATTTGGGTAAGGTGGAGAGAAGAGAAATAGGGAGAGGGAGAGAGAGAGAGAGAGAGAGAGAGAGAGAGAGAGAGAGAGAGAGAGAGAGACAGACAGACAGAGAGAGAGAGAGACAGAGAGACAGAGATATTAAAAAACAACAACTGAGGTATTGGTTTTTTTTTAATGCTTGTAGCTTTTTGTTATATTTCCGAATTGTGTAACAGTGTTCATCTCACGGAATGCAGAGTGCCCCTTAGGGACGTCGTTTGATTAAGAAAAAGGAACGCTTAGCTCTCCGTCAGCATTTCAATGGTTTATTTTGAAGTAAAGGCCTACTTCAGAACCCCTCCCCCTACCCCCCACCCCCCGCCTAATTCGAAACTGGCTTGTCCGACTACGTAAATCGTGGGTCTCCACTCTCTGGAAGGAAATCAGGAGGGTTGCAGTAACTCCATGCCCCGAAAGACTATTTATTTAACTTATCAAAAACGAAGTGCTAAAGTAGAACTACATAATCACTTTTGATAAAACATATTATGTTTTCGATTCTTTTTTCAATATACGTTTCACTTACGAATGAATTTACGATGGCATGCACGTCGTGATCTAGTATTAAGCGGAACAACCATATCTGGGCACTTTCGCTTTCCTATGAATAAACTACATGTATGTACAAACTTGACCAGAGAAGGACACACAAACGAAAGAATGTATGCGATGCCTGAAGAAACACAAACTGACGTAAACATTTGCAGAACTTCCATGAGTTCATCACTCTCACTGTCATCAGCTTTTTGTTTCATTTATTTATTTATTTTCTATTTATTTTTAGAAATGTATTTATTTATTTATTTATTTATTTATTTATTTATTTATTCACTCACTTTTACCTTTTCATTAATTTCTTCTTTTTTTTTGGGGGGGGCGGTTATTAAAAAATTATTTTACATGACTTACAACACCTGCTCTAAAGTGATTATATTCTAAAAACGCACTTGGACTGCTTTTCTCACAGTACTTACTAATATCATCACCAGCGATACGTATAATGCTGTTTCTATCTGAGATCATGTGTCACGACGTGGTGGTATCAGGTGCTTGTCAATTTTGGGTGTTTGGAGTTATTGGCATCATCTTAAAACTTGTTTATTTGTCTTGCTTTTGATTTTTTAAAAAAATA